TATGCAGCTACAGTCAGTAGAAGCTGCAGCTGAATACAGTGGCGACTGTGGCAGTTTCTATGCTGCTAAGAAAAGTTATAAAATCAGGTTTTCAAAAACAAAATAGAGAGGGAGAGAGAGAAAAAAAGGCAAGAGTGTTAATTTATAACCCAGTTTTTCTCCAAGAGAGGTGGATAGACTGTGTGAGATTATCAACCATTTAGCATAATTAGCTTAGCTACAGACTACTGTTTGCGTCCATTTCACTAGCATTTAATGAATTAAGGAAAAAAATTACCAACATATTCATATATTGAACTTGTCCCTTGTACCTTTTACCACTTAACAGGCGAGTCAGTCAGTCAGCAGCTCTAACCCACGTCCCTCCTGATCTGTTCTCTCCTAAGTGAAATTAAAGCTGCAGTATGTAACTTTTATATAAATATTTTTTTTCACATATTTTTTAAAACTGTCATTATGTTGTGACAGTATGGTATGAGAGGTAATGTGTGAAAAATATATTTCCTGTGCCTTCTCCCAGTGCTAGAAACAACCAGTCAGTGGCAGGAGAGTTTTAGTGCTGTCGATCACAATCTCATGTGGTGCTGCTCATTCTTCCTTCCCCTCGATTTGTGCTGTGCTGCAGTTAGCATAGTACAGAGCTGTGCAGATTCAAACTGTGAATGCTCAGTTTAGTTAGCATAGCTACCAATGATGGCAGATAAACAGTTTCTTGTAATGATAAGTTGTTTCTCCACCATTAGCACATTTAGCAGTGAGTGAATGAAGTTGATTGACAGCGCTAAGAGTGTCCTAGTGGTCCTGATTGTTTGTTTTGGTCAGAACGGTGCATTACTTTAACCAGTAATAGTAGTTCAGGAAGGAGATGGAGGAGATTTATTGTTTTCACAGATTATCTGTCTCATAACAAACTGCTACGACATGGTGACAGCTTTAACTAATATGGAGAAAACATATTTTTTTATTAAAGTTATGTACTGCAGCTTGAATAAAATGCAACTACTAGCATTTTTGAGAAGTCTGGATTGCTTTATGTGTAGTTGCACGTTGCTTTTGACTGTTGCTCATGGGAGAAACATTTCAGTATCTAAAACTAATAGAAAAAATGTAAGCAACCTATTTGCATACTGGATGTGGACTGTTGGATGTTAAATTCATGAGCAGTAAATATTGCGCTATTTATCAGTATTGAACCAAAGAGCAAGGCAGATGAAGCCTTTAAAATTGTGACGCTTTTTGTGGGTCAAACAGACTCAAATAATTGTAACAGCAGCTGCGCTGGGCAGGGGCCCAATCTATTTTTTCTCAGGGGGCCCAAGATTCCTGGCAGCGCCCCTGCTTGTAATAGTTATTTACATAATTCTGTACCACATGTGAATTTAAAATTAATTCCTTATTCTCATGTCTCCTTTTCAACAAAGTAAAATCTACTATTGAATAATTGTCCAAGGTTTTATTACTGGCAATGAAACAGTTTGACTTATGCTGATCTGACCTATTTTAAGTTCTGTTGTCAAAATCCAAACAAACCTTCTATCTTTTTTTTTTCCCAACAAGGTTTAACAGTTTCTTGGGTTGGATGATCCTGTCTATGACCTCTTATATTAGCCAAATAATTTAATGTTAATATTTCTCCCATTTATACCAATAATGAAGCTGTTGGAGTTGATCTAACTCTGTAGAGTCTCAATGTTTGATATTGAATATGATCTATCTTTTGTAAATTAGTATCTGCAGCTTCCATAGTCTAATAATAATCTAATTAATCTAGTATTTATATAATCTTAAGCGCTGCCCTCTGTTCTCCATTCACTTCCAGTTAAACTCCTCATAACATTTAACACCTTCTTGCTTTTCTTTAAAACTTTTCTTGTCCATGTAATCCTCTCATCAAACCACAGGAAATATAAATTGCTTCTATTTCTTGATTATGTCATCAGTGATGCTTCTTCTCCTTCCATCAGGCAGGTTTAGGTGTGCATTAGCGCCACCAACTGGTCTGGCATGTGATCAAAATAAAAAACAAACCAAAACAAAAATTTCATCAAATCTACCTAAATATTTAATATGCAAGTTAATATTTAGTTTAATTAAATATTTAGTTTGGAGCTCTGACATTCATAAATCTGGTGAAAATATTACTTTCAATTTTCTTCATGACAGAATAAATAAACCAAATGATTGCTGTTAATTTGTTTACTGTGTAGCTTTATAAATGGCGGCTCACAGAGTAAAATCAGTGGTGAGAGCAACACTTTGTGCTGTTGGTGGAGCTCCCAGCTCAGTGCAGCTCAGTGGTTGTGATTATTGGGAAAGTTAAACTTTGAAGTGGATTAAATCACTGAAGCCCTGAAATGAACTCTGCATCATCTGATTTTACATCCTTTTATCTTCTGCTTTTTCTGGACGATAAACTCTTCAGTCTGGTGTTTTGGTCTCAACTGGCTGTTTTTGAAGAACAATTTTGTTTCCAGCCTTCATGATTCATTATTTAATGTTGTTGTTTGTTTATTCTGGATATTTAAAATGTCTTCCAGTTCCAGTGTTAAATGCTCATTAGAAATGAGTTTATTGATCCTTATGAATGTGTTCTTACATTATTATGCCATTACCACTGTTATTCCTTAAATGATCTGAAAAAAATATTATTGTTTATCACATTAAATTCTGGGACAATTTATCATCCAGCAAAATTTGCCATCTGTTATTTCTGATTGATCATCTCCAGCTGATCTGCTGACTCCTGGCTGTAGAGACACTGTTGGTCAGAAGGTTCTGATCAGTTCTGATCCGGATTCTGGATCTGAACTTCACCTCTGAGGAGAAAAGATGGAGGAAGTTCTGGTGGGCGGGTCGCTGTTCTGGCTGCAGAATCCAAAGGATCTGGATTAATTTAATGTTTTCTAAATGTGACATAACTCTCCAAATCGTTTATCATCAACTTGTTTTCAGACTAATCAGATGAACACAGATACAAAACCATGACATTTACCTTATGTCCAAGTAAAATATGTTATTTCACTAATGGAATTTATTAACTCGTGTTATTTGTTTTCATTGAAACTAATTACAATTTACAAATTGTAATTAGTTATAAAATGGTACATTTTATAACTAATTACAATAACTACAGTTTATAATTAGCAATTTATAAAATGATAAATATCACTAAAACATTTGACTCATGGAGTTAATCTAAGCAATGGATGTTATTATAAACACATTATTACTATTAAATGTTAAAACATCACCTTCATGTGTAAACTCAGAATAAGCTTTAAGCTCATTCAGGTGTGTTAAAGCAATGATGTAGAACAATCTGCTGTGTGAGATTAAAGTTAACATTTAATTAAAAATTAGTCTCAGCGCCCCCTGCAGGATGAAGCTGCAGGATCAACCTGTGGCTGCAGCGGCTCACTGCAGTCCAGCGATCAGAGGCAGCAGGACCAGCAGGCCCACTGGCAGGACGACGTTGGGTCTCAGGCCGTCTCCTCCGTGGCTGGTCTTGGCTGCAGAGAGGAGCCAGCAGACGGGACAGGTTTACATCCAAACACTGGAAACGCTGATGTGACTGAAGCAGAGGACAGACTCAGCTCTGAAACAGAGACTTCCTGCTCCGTCCTCAGCTTCCTGTCCAGATCAGCCACACATTTCATCCACAGGAACAAAATCAGCTCCCATCAGTTACAGCAGTAACCTGTCTGTTCTGAATATTTACAGAATATTATAAAAATACTCCAGCACTGAATGATTTCTGTACTTAGGATCACTTACCAGAATATCTCTAAGATATTATATTTTACATTTGTTGTTGGCTCACTAATTTGAGCACCTTTTGTTGATTTATTTTTTGTTCTTTAATAAAGTTATGAACGTTTTAAGCCAATCAGAGGAGGACCTGCTGGTCTCAGCCTCCTGGCGGTTTTCAGTTTGTCTCCTAAAGCACGAACAGTTCAGAAACAATATGAAATGGGAAAAAAGTTATTAATTAACTGATTAAGTCGTGTTTTAGATTTTCTTGAAAAACTAATCAGTCTCGGCTGATTAGTGGGTGAACTCACTGCTGCACAGTGAACCCGTTTTTCACAGCAGACAGCCGCTCCCCTCTCTTGCAGGTACTGCGTACCCCCGCTAAATCTTTTAGGGGTACGCAGTACCCTGCCGTACCCGCCTACTTTCACCCCTGGTTCTGATACATAAAGACTGACCTTCCACTGTCAGCACAACGACGCTGACTGGGTCACTTTTCAGAGAGGAGCGGGCGCCGGTGCCTGTTGCGCCTGTGCCTGTCGCCCCGGTGCCTGTCGCGCCTGCTCCCAGCTCAGCTCTGCACTCATACTTTCCGGCGTCTTTCTTCACCACTTTCTTCAGCACCAGAGACAGGTCTCCTTTCTCTGCGTTTAGCAGAGACGTGCGGCCCTTATAGGCTTCCAGCTGACGTGCATCCACCTTCTTGTCCTTGTAGAGAAGAACCGGCGCCGAGGTCTGGTCGGGTCTGCTCCACTCTGCCTGGACAACAGCTTTGTCCCCAGCAGTTTTACAGGGCAGAATGACGTCTGCTCCAGCTTTAGCTTTGTTTGGGACCGGATCTGCAGGAGGAGAACAACACAGAGGTCAGAGGTCACACCTCCAAGCATTAATTAATGATGTACTTTCTGAAACTGGCCTGATACCATAACAAATAGCATCAATAACATGTTGGTGGTGTGGCTGTGTTTTTGGGGATTTTGCAAACAATTATTTTATTTATCAAGTACTCAACGAAAAAGTTTGATCAAGTAAAATATTGGTAATTGCTGCCATAACATCAGTATTAAAATTGGATATCAACATCGGCTCAAATTTTCATGTTTGTGCTTCCCTACAAAGAAAAGACCCTCATTGGCTGATCGGACGCAGGAAATATGGCGGCCATCTTGGAGAGGTCGTCTATCCTACTTGGCTAAACCAAAACAGCAGAAGAAGTCAGATATGTTTGTTCGGATTGACAGACTGTTGGCGTGAGACATTTCACAAGTAAGATGGACATATTACCGTTTATATTTTGTGATTAGAATATTACTATATTGTATTTATGTCCAGTGGCAAAGTAAAGCTAATATTAGCTATAGTGCTGCTCGGTGTAACATGGGGGTTCAGCCTGCACTATGAAGGCCAACCAAGGTTTTGACCATCTTAAAAAGTTTTAATTATTTCCTGGCATTGATTCAGATTATCTGACACAAGAGCCGACCTTAGAAATAAAACATTATATGTTATTACAAATATACTATATAACATTCATCATCGGTTTACTCGGGTGGCAAAGACTATTATTTATATCTAATTCTTTCACTCTATAAAATGTAAGATACCTCAAAAAGCTCCGGTTTTAATTTTGAAGGTTTCCTAGAGACAATATGAGGAAGAAGTGGGGAATGTCTTTAAGAAGAGACGGATTCACTGCACAGGATGAATCTCAGATGCTGAATTTTTATTATTATTATAAAGTTTATTTGATAGGGACAGACACACATCGACATAGACCAGAGGTTCCCAAACTGTGGGGTGCGTCCCATAGAGGGAGCGCCGTGCCATTGCAGAGGGGGCGTGGGAAGCCATCCATTTTCTTTACACCCTTGTCCCTTAGAGGGATCGGGAGGGGTGCTGGTGCCTCTCCAGCTAACGTTCAGGGCGAGAGGCGGGGTCACCCTGGACAGGTCGCCAGTCTGTGCAGGGCAACACACCTGTGCGGCAGCGAAGGAGAGCTGCTGCTGCTGTGCAGAGCTACACAGGTGTGTTAGAATCACGGCAGCAAACCAGCAAAATGCAAAGAACTTTTCACAGTTTTTCCCCCAAACTAACCGACTGTTTAGTAAAGCTGGTGGATGCAGGTAAAGTTAGCTAAAAGATGACGAGCTAATATCAATACAGCACCTTATGCGCCACTTTCATTTTCAACATGAAAGTGGCGCATTAAGGCTGGGGTTCATTTCCGGTTCGTCGGAAATGAATAAACAGGAAATTCTTTGCAGATATCAGAAGCAGTCTTATAATTTATGAAGTTTTGCTATCTCCGCATTTCCAACATTGTCGAGCTCTTTCTAATTTGTGGCATTTACTGACAATTTTGTGCAGGAAACATAAAATTCTGCAGGCAACTGTTTGGACACCACAAAGGGGCTTCCACGTCATTCTTAATTCAGATATCTAAAATTGTAATTTTGACTAGTCATAATTGTGTTGAAGATATCTTAAATCGTAATTACGGATATGTGTCCCGTCAAATGACAGATCCAGTGACGTCATTTGACTAGTCAAAATGCATTTTTAGATATCTGGAATGTAATTACGGATTGTCAGACGAAACCGAATTTATGTTAAAACGGCTTGCGCCTGCCAAACAGACCGACCGGTCCAAGATGGCGGCCCTAAGTGACGTCAGCGACAACCGGCAAGAGCGTTTCTATGGGAACAGCTGAATCTCACCTGGAGCAGTGACAAACTCCCAGAAGACCACAGACAGCAGGAACAGAGACGCCGTCAGAAAAGAAACCATGTCCTCGTTGCGTCGCTCTCTCCGTCTAAAATTTAGATTCCTGCGACGTTTCTAAGTAGAAAATATCTCCAAGAAACACCAAAAAACCTGAAGTTTAACTGAAAACACAGCAGTCAGTTAGAATTGCGGAGAAAGTATGATAAATAAAGTAAACGACAGTGACCTGCACAGGCGGGAAAATGTGGAGGTGGAGCTAGCTTAGGGCTCCTGCTTCTTCTTCCTTTTTAACTTTTAGGTTTTGTTTGCAGTTTAGCAAAAACACTTTAGCAGCGCATTACCGCCACAGGTTATTTGGTAACCGAAATACAACGGAACATTTTTATAACTGAAATACAACAGAAGGAAAAAATACATAATTGTCCAGTACGTTCATCTCAATTCTACACTGAGAAGGTCTTTATAACTGAAATGTAACGGAAGAAAATATACATTAACAGCCGATACGCATATATTAATGGTACACTCAAATATTATGTACAAATATATGGATCAAAGAAAACACAACAGCCGCACGTATTTCTGAGTCATCTTAAAACATAAATACTTACAAAGACAAACGTTTTCCAAGCTACGAATCGTATAATGTACGTTCAATGTTCACAACCCGTTTACTTTCTGCTGACCAAACTACTGTTGACAAGGTTACTGAGAGAAGGACATCAAAGATAGTTTGGTCCTAAGAACGCTCACTCGGTCATGTTTCTAAAAGTACAACACATTTTACGGTTATTTGTGTAATTACAAGACTTTGCAGGACATCGTGTTATTGTAGACTTAATAGGTAACATTATAATTACATTATTTTATGAATGATAGGTTTTGTGGGTGGTAGGTCTGAGGCATGAAGCTCCAGAGCTGAAAGTAAGACCCAATATTATGCCATTCGGTCAAGTACTGCAGGGATTGAGGGGTGAAAGTGAAGACAATTCTAGGGGCCCTGACCAGCAGGGGGCCCTCCACAATTTAATTATTTGTATTTTGTTCATAGAAATAAAATTTAAAAAAAAAAATCGGGATCCTGTCAAATACAAAATTAATCATATTGTATTTTCAAAGATTGTTTTTAACAGTAAACATTTAATGTTACTACTCCCAGACTAAAAAACACACATCCGTTTTTGCCCTGAACCCCCCTGGATCTGCATGAAATGGTTCGTTCCTGCTTGGAGCGCTTAACAGTGACTATGCAGCTACAGTCGGTAGAAGCTGCACCTGAGTTCAGCGGTGACTGTGGCGGTTACTATGCTGCTCAGAAAAGTAATAAAATCAGGTTTTCAAAAATAAGAGAGAGAGAGAGAGAG